CAACTCACCAAAACACTAGGCTTCGAATAAATCTGAAGTTTGCCGATATGTTTGTCTCGTTTCCTCTTTTGAATTTTTCCCAGAGAAAGAAACGAGACAAACACTTTACGAACTTCAGATTTATTCGAAACCTAGGCTTTTGTCCATGGGGCACTGCGCGTAGTGACTACGCTATTGCGGGCGCTCCACCGACGTACTCGCGCTCTGATTGGTCGGCGTTTTCTCTTAATATCTCCTTAACGAAGCCTCGGGCAATATTTTCGCTAAGGAAAAAGTTGTTTCAAATCACCTCCCGAATCACGCCTTCAAGGAACTCCAACAGTTTTGGGACACCCTGTAGAATCTAACATTTATCCTATTACTTATTTTTGTATCCTCATCAAAATTTACGAATTCTATCTAGGTTCGTTTTCATTACCACTTAGCTCTTAAAATGAATTGTTGAAGTCCCTAGTGAAAATGAGTGTATAAGGAGATCCAACTCCCTAAGAAAGTAACTAGAAAACTGTTATCAAAATTCCTAATTTGAAGTTATGAATATGTGTATGATAATATATACACATATGACATATACAGGGTGTTCCAAAAATGTCCCAGAAATGGACCATCCATTTCTTTCGATGGTATTTTAATTTTGAATCGGCAAAGTTGGTAGACATTGTAACTATAGAATTCCGGGCATTTATAGAAACGTAATTGCGGACAGGAGGGTGTACACACCGTCTTTCCTCTTGGACTTCTATCAATCTGGAGGTAGGGGGTTCCTTGCGTTCCTCGTTGTCGCTGTTGTCGTCAGGGTCGACGAAAACTAGCCTGGCCGCTTCCACAGGTGTCAGGACAGGTGTAGGTAAGGTGAGGGCACGGAAGTTTGGGACCGAAATGGGGTCCCTGGTCATCCCGGAGCTGGTGGTACTGTTGCTGTTGTTGGAATCGACAGGTTTCGGTGTTGTTTCAGGTGGCTTTTGTCTTCGGCGAGCCAGCGTGTTGGCGCTCCGTGACTTCACCATCCCCGTTGACGGTTCGACGACCTCCGCGTCTACTTGCTGAAATGGATAATACGAGTTCGCCTGCGGGCAGGCTCAAATTGTCACATGCGTTTCGTTTTTGCAAACGCGAGGTTTAATTCGGGTGCAAATAACGGGAACGAAAAATATAACGAAACGATACGGCGTTAGTATTAGACCGAGGTTGCCTTAATTAAGAGGTATTAACCCTTTGCACTCGGATTCTGTATAGCATTCTGAATAGCATAAAATTTTGATTTTTCAAAAAGCGATCGAATTTAGGCAACCTTACTCTATTATAGACAACGTATGTATAGGCTATACCTCTTGAGGACTTTCCTCGTTGTCGTCTTGACCGCTTAGAACGGAATAACTGCATTTCGCCGGATGGCTCAGCCGCGACAGATTGATTTGCGACAATTTCGAAATTTCTTTCAGGAAGCTCGGTCTAGCCGGTGCCTCGTTCGGTGATATCCTGCTGTTGCACAGCCTCGTCCTTTGATTTCTCGGCTTGTACTTCGCGTTGTCGAGGTTGGTCCCTCGAATGATTAATTCAGAAACCGCTAGGGCAACGCTTTCGGCTCTTGGTTGAGGTTTAGGACCTGCCACTGACAATTTCTCCCACGTTTCCGTACCTACGATGAAATTCACTTTCACTTTTATTATATATAATAAATTCGTAATTTATTTCAAAAATAAAGAAGACACGTGATTTGTATACTTTATATATTAAACTATGATTTCAAGTTATTGCCCAATAAAATACTACAATATTACAAATGAATTACTTGCATAATATGATGTACTATATATTAATATGCAAATTATCAAAATGTTAAGATATTTACTATACGAGTTTTTATAATATAATAAAATAAGCTTATATAATAAATACCTCAACATTTTTATAATTTTCATAAATTGATGTACTTAAAAGTGCTGTGGTAGATGAATGTGTAAATGGAATATATCTCGAGTGACTCTAATTCATTACCGAAATGAAACCTCCAGAGCTCGTTCGTGGCTAGACCGCCGCTTTCTCCACCGAAAATTAGCATACAACTGGGAAGTCTACAGGCGGCGTGACCGTGAAGGGGCCCTGGACCGGGCTTATTTTTCAATAGACACCAGGAGGCTGCATTCACGTCCCATCGCCAACAGTCGCTCCTCTCTTGGAGGTCGGTCATACCCCCGTAAACGTACATCGCATCGCCATGAAGAACCGCTGAATGTTTATGCCTCGCTGCCGGGCCGCATTCACTGGACGAAAGAAGGTGCCAGGATTCCGTTTCTAAAGGGTGAATTATGAAAATTATCCAGGAATATTAAATAAACAGGTAGATTTAATAATACGTAATAGTAACATGAATCGTATTTAGGTGAATAAAGTTATCTAAATATAACCAGTACGTATTTTTACAGGATGCGGGAGAAAATTTGACCTCTAAGCTGTATTCGTCCTAGAACGAAATTCAAATAATTCGAGTGAATGCATAAAACTAGTCCGAGTAACTAGAAAATTTGGAACTTTGTACAAATTTCGTACAAGTTTAAACCACGAGTTAATGAAGTATCTTATCGTTTTACCAAAGTGAAACGCCCACAGCTCTGGGGAGCTTCCACGCAAATCTTGATAGCCACCGTAGATGAGCATTTGACCTCGATGAACCAATGCCGTATGGCCTCTTCGTCCTCTAGGAACTGCACAGCCCCGTTGCGCTCTCACCTTTCTCCACATGTTAGTCTAGGAACAATTAACCGTCATTCGGTACAAGTCCATATGCAAGTCCATTTCGATAAAGTAACAACAGCGGTTTTTGAGTTCATAGATTACGCGAGTTGGGTGACAATAAGCTTGGAAATACTCTAATTCCGACTAGACAGGAGAGGTTTCTGAATGCGACTGGGATTGGCCAGAACAAAAGGCACAGAAGGACTCCAATTTGTCACTCCCTTATTTTGCCGTTTGAATAGGCTCGAGTTTAATGCTCGAGGCACCAGCTGAAGACTTAGAAGGTTTGTACGTTAATGTAACAAAATGACAAGTAAATATTTCTACTTAAACTAGAATTATAAATGTTTACATATAAAGGGACAGAATTAATTTTTACATCTCCCATATGAAGCTATTTACGATTAAATTCATTCAATTTCATAGAGACTATTCTCCCTCGATTAATTCACATAACAAAAGGTTCTACTCTACAAATATTTACACGTGGGAAATGGTCCATTTTCAATGTTCAGAAAAATTGTCTTGAATTCGCTGGCCGGTCGTATCGAAATACGAGACCTGAATGGAAAGGGTTAATACCATGAACTGGAACGCACGTCGGTGGTTCTTTTGACGCGCGGTGGTTCAATCATGGATCTTTTGCTTAGGCCAGTGAATCTCGGCTAGCCAAGAAGATAGGAGAAAATACGTTGGCTTAGCCGAGGGTCCGCGATCATACACGCAAAGGAGGGAAGATGGAAGGAAGGTTTATAGGCTCCGTTGCAGGGGCGCTGAAAGTAATTACGTAACTTGAAGTACGTGCCTAAAGTTGATAGGTCTGTACAGCCACTTGCGTCTACCCCGTATTACGACATGAGGGGGACGCAGAAGGGTGGAGTAGTGGCTAAATTCGCCATCGACGTTAAAACGCTGTAAAATTAGCGAGAAAACAGTTGTCACCGACGCCGAATGCACCAATTTTCAAGAATTCATTTTTCCAATTTAATCTTATTTAGGAAACACTCCCACTTCTAAATCGTATAAGTAGCTTACCGTCCAAATATGTTACTTAAATTGTATGGTACTCTATTTTTTAAGATAAACTGTGATTCCGACCGAATTGAAATCAATGTAACGAAGTTGTGTCTGTTCAGTTAGGAAAATATTTTTTTTGTGTTGAAGGGAGGGACCTCCGAAAAGTTTGGAGACCGCGGGATTAAAGGAACAAAGTCGAGCCGAACGAAGCAAGGCAGAGAATATTCAACAGGGTGGAATATATTTTTCCACTTTCGATTCCCCGTAAACGGAAGAGAATTTTAACGAGAAGCACAGAGGGAAGACGAAAGAGTGGAAAGTGAACAGGACACGGGGCGACCCCTCGACGGTTTAACCAATCGGGTTTGCCTGGCGCATTCGTAACGCGGATTTCAATAATACACGGCGAAGACACGAGTAACGGGGAGTATCCCTGGTCTCCGACATGGTCCAACGGATAAAAACAAATGGACCGAACGTAACCATAGCGACACGCAGCATTGGAAAAAAGTTTGGACCCTCCGAAAAAAGGACGAGAAGGATGGGTGAGCGTAGTACGTCGATCGTACTTTTTCTGTTAAAGTTTCCGTGTAACCTTTGATAATATACATCGAGAGGATTGAACAATTAACATTTTGACGAGGCGACTCCATTGACGAATGCCAAAGCACGATTTTTGTTCAAAGTACATGAACAACCATTACTACGTATTAAATTGGGAAAGTAATCAAAATTTTATCAACATTTATTTATTGAAGAAATCTTGAATAATAATCAAGGAAATAATTTCCATCATTTTCCAACGAAAAGTCCTTCGATTTTTCATTGAAAAAACTTTTCCAATTCGAAGAAATTCTGCTTCCTTTTCGGCCCTCCTAATATAAAATAAGTCTAACACCGCTTAAGAATATTTCTAAACCATTCAAATCATTAAATATCTAACAATAACAATATCTAACATCAAAATAGACTTGTCCCACTTTCAAAATCAACACGGTTCAGTGACGTAACCGCTCGTCATTGTTTCCACTCAAAAATAGAAAGCTGTGCGCACAAGGTTCTCGACGCGTTTGTTTGTCTATTCCGATGAAAAAATCAATTTTTAACCAAGTCGGCGTGTCACGTGAGCTTGGGCTCCACACGTTGCCTTTGCCACGGTCCAATGAAAGATTTACTATGCCTATATCGCTATCGTCAGACGTCTCCCTATTCATCGTTTGTAGGTTCTCGCCGCGGCGATACGAGATCGAGAAATCGTTGACGTGAAATTGATATTGCGTTTCGTGCTTACGCCAGGCTATATCAATTTTTAATGGCGTGCAGGTTGAGGGCAGAAGCCCTTGGGAGGATAAGCGCCATTCAGTTTCGAGGGTACGAAAAGGAGGAAAGGGATGTTGACACCAGCTGTTGCCAAAAATTACTCGACGTAGTCGAATAGTTCGCGAAGGATCGGAGAACGCTGTTGAATATTTAATGCAATTTCATCCGCGTCTTATAAGTCGTTACTTCGTCCACCTATCGCCCTTTTCGCAAGAAGACCATACTCCATCTTCTTCATCTATTGGATTGTCCAGGAAGTTCGTGCCAATTTTTAAGAAGAATTGCCAAGATGTTTACCCAAGAAATCACTTGGAGACCTCAAATGTTCCACGACATCACAAATATCATACTCTGCGTCAGTGATAGTAATAATAATAATAATAATAATAATAATAATAATAATAATAATAATAATAATAATAAT